CTGATTGATACATTAATCTTTACATAGAAAAATAGAATCTAATTATATTAGTATATCTATATTACCTTTTACCCCTAAATCAGTCAAGGATGAAGTTATAGACATTACTGTAGCAATCACACATTTAGTTTACATGTGTATATCATGCATGATTCCAATAGATTCATTTAAGTTTTAATATCCTGAAAATATGGAAGCGACCTCAGACTTTGGGTTCGTATGGCTGACAAACACTCTGGATTGCCTGTGATGTTTATGCACAAACAATTGCATAGTTTGTATGCCCCTTTGAAGCTCTGTGAGTTTAAGTATCTTGGATTGTAAAGTCCCATTGAGTAATAAACCATTGTTCTTGTTACACTTGTACACAGCTCACAAATTAACTGTAGATAAGTATTCCTCTGGTTTACTTCTTTAGATTACAAAATACAAAGTTCCTTTGACCTGTGTTGGAACAGCATTACGTAATGTCCAGGCCAGTCTACCAGCATCCATATTGTTTTCTTTTAATATTAAAAATTATGGGGCACCAAATAGCACCACAACGTATTAGTTTAATAATTTAATTTCAAATAGAGGTATTACAACATTTAATGTGGAGTTTTCATTTTATTGCCGGCATAAAATAAATTTTTCTTCTTGAAAGATTTTGTTAAAAAATAAGAACTAATTGCTTTAAAATGTTTAGCATTCCACAGCATGCCTATATTTAATTGCAAAACTATAACTTGAATGATGAAAGCAAAAGATTTGGTCTTAATAGTGCTTTCACCAAAAGGATTTGATTAGATTGGCTCCTACTAAGAACATCAATTTTAAGATAAGTTTGAAATAATTTATATAAAAAAAAAAAAAAAGTTTCCTTCAACATAATACTTGGATATGTATTCACTAAATGACTTGCATTACTTGAATTGAAATGTGCGTTTGATAATCCATGGTAAAAATCATTTATAAACTTTCATTACTGGTTATTTAGGTGAATATACTATATACTGTGTTCTTAATTCTATAAATTATCCATTCCATAAATTGCATATTATTATTTTATCTACTGAACCCCAAGTCTGACCTGTACAATATATATTATAAAAATGTGTAATATCTATTATGGACTAGAAATTTAAAGTGATTCTATTTAGGTTATGCAATGTTCCAGGAATGTTTGATGCTCTTGTCAATAATGTGTGTTTCTAAATAACTTACTATCATATGTAACAAACAAAATGCAGTTATCGATCATGACTTAAATTGCTATGCGTCAGCTTCATGTCAGCAATTAATCTAGTTGTAAACCTGAGCTGGTTTCCCTGTGGAGAGAAACAGATTTAAATATAATATGTGAATGATGCCTTCATGTTCAGAAGCAGACTTTACATTACTGTAATTAAAAAAATATTATCTTAGGACTATAGAGTTTTTCGTGTAATGGTGAAAATTATGCTACTCATACTTTTGTGATTTGAAATTTCTGTTTAAAGCAAAGTAAACCTCTCTATATCTATTAAGCCCTTAGTGACCAGACCATTTTAAAATTTTCTTACTATTAAGGACCAGGGCAGTTTTTACATTTCTGTGGTGTTTGTATTTTTAGCTGTAATTTTCATTACTCATTTACTGTACCCATTATTATTATTATTATTATTATTATTATTTACTGTTGTTCTTGCCATTAAATGGTCTTTCCAAAGATCATTATTTTAATCGTCTCATATAAGTAACTATAAAATATGATGAAAGAAATAATAAAAAAACACACTTTTTCTAACTTTGACCCCCCAAAATCTGTTATCCATCTACAACTGCCAAAAAACACCCATGCTAAATAGTTTCAAAATTTTGTCATGAATTTAGAAATACCAAATGTTAACATGTTCTTAGCTTTTATTTTGCAAGTTATAGGGCAATAAGTACAAGTGGCACTATTTCCAAACCTTTTTTTCTTTTTCAAAATTAACAAAAGTTACATTGTAACACTGATATCTGTCAGGAATCCTTGAATAACCCTTCCCATGTATTTATTTATTTATTTATTTTTTTTAAAGAAGACAACTTAAGGTATAAAACTTGGGGTATTTTTACTTTTTTTTTTATGCAACCATTTTACCACCAATCTATGCCAAATTATAGGACTTTAAGGGTTACTGCCAAAGAATACCCCAATATGTGTTCAGCAACATCTCCTGAGTACAGTGATACCACCTGTGACGGACCAACTGGCACTCCGACTGGGTGCCTTCACCAATTGCTGCTTCCTAGTAGCCAGATGTACTGTAAGCACCACACCGGGCACCATAGCCCCTTAGCCACCATAGCTTGGCTGGGGTCTCACTGTCCTCCACCCACCCTGTACCCAGGCCCAGGATCCAGCTTCCAGTGGGTGGACCTCGTCTACTCCAGAGAGTCTAGCAGGTATAGCTGTGTAGCTCTTACAAGAGCTAGTGATTATAGCCAATGTAGCAATCTGAAGCTGTTCCCTACAATCACAAGATGAGGCTCTGTGTTAAGGGTGAAGCAACGGACTTTAATAGGACCACACTTGGCCTTTTATGACAATCCCCATGCAAGGGGTACTCCCACCCGGATCTGATGGAAGACTACAGTACAATATTATAGACCAATGACAAAGTTGTTCAAGTACATGACACTCCCATATAATCCCTCCCCTCCACCTGGGAGATAATTGAGTCAGGTACTGTACTAACTCAATTATCTCCAGGCAAAAAACACAATTTTACAGGCAACCTGAAAGTACACCAAAATCTCATAGACCCCAACAATATATCCCAAACTCACCAAGATCAGTGCAGGGGTTCAGGATTTCTATGGAAGTCTTATTTCTAACTGACCGCACACGAGGCTCCTGTCCAAAATAGTTTCGTAGATTCAGGCTGTGCGGTCGGTCTCTTTCGGGAGCTCCAAACACAATGAAATACTGGAAGTAGCAGTTTGTGGGTAGGTTCAGTCTATATCTCTCGTTCGGGAGCTTGCACCCACTGAACGCCACTTTTCCCATACAAATCCAACCGAATGTATGTAGAGATGGAAGTCCCAGCGGTGTTCGCGCCATCGAGTGTTCGCTTATAGTTCCATGCACTCGACGAGCAAACACCACTGTATGTGTTCGTGGCTAAAGTTGGCCGCCGCCACGTGTTCGCATATACAAACGACGGCCACCCAGCTAACCACTTAGAATGTTGTGGTTAGCGAGGTCAAAGGTCAATAAGCAGCACACGACTGTTCTGGGTGGTCGGTCCATTCGGTAGTTCATTCAGTATACGAACAGCATTAGTCTGATCCATTCATCATGCCCTATATACTGAACTATACAGTACAAAATGCACGAACAAAGCCTGAACCAAAGTCTAACACATGGGCCATAGTCCTGAGGCAATAGGCTGGCAAGCAGACCCCTCCAAAACCAGTGACGAGGTTACTTTTGCCACACCACCCATATTTAGGTGTGTTGGGTTCTCTGGGGGCTAAAATCCCTTATTTGGAGGGTGAGCATTCCAGTTTTCCAACTTGGAATTTTCACAGCTGGCCATCACGTCCCATGTCCTATTTGGGACATTTGCGAAGCCGGCCAATGCAATTTACCCCCATCAAACCATGTATTTTTGAAAAGTAGGCACCATAGGGTATTTCAAATGGTGGTATTTTAAAACTTTCCATGCAATAATTCTACCACCAGTCTTTGTCAAACTTTTGGGTAATAATTTTTGTGTAATTTTTCTCTCACATTGTACTTTTAGACATGGATTCTCAGTTCCTATTATGTGCTACTGACAAATAGAGTTGAGCGGACACCTGGATGTTCGGGTTCAGCCGAACTTTGAAAAAAAGTCCCGGTTTGGGCTCGAACTTTACCCCGAACCCCATTGAAGTCAATGGGGACCCGAACTTTTGGCCACAAAAATGCCTCTAGAAAACTCCTGGAAAGGGCTATAGCGCTGCAAAAGGAAGTAAAATGGGGCTAAGAGTAGGACAAATGCCCTGCAAACAAATGTGGATAGGGAAATCACTTAAAATAACATAAAAATTAAAAATACAGCTGAGCCATAAAATAGCACTAGATGGAATCTTTGATTTTAGCTTTGGAAGAACATAAATCAAAATCTAAAGCATGGCTGTCAGGAGGATCACCAGAATTATCCATTTGAGAGAGGGTTAGAGTACAGGGTATTCTCTCTCATTGTTCAAACTAAGCTCAACTCCTGATGCATGGAGAAAAGGCCTTCACAAGCCTCTGCTATTGTGTACATAGTTTATACTATGTGACCCATAGGTTGAGGAGGCGGAGACCTTGTAGGTGTAGGTTTTTTTTTTTTAATATATACATATATATATTAGTAAATGAAGGCTTGCACTCACGGTCTTTTTCTTGTATAAGTTTTCTTTCTTTATTCCATATCTCTTAAAACATAATTTCTGTTAGAATCAACGTTTCAGCCATCGTCCGTGGCTTTCATCAGGATCAGTTCAGCCGTTTAACACTAACCTCCTTTTCAGTCCTAATTCTCTATCTAGTATCATTTGAAGGAGACACATGATTATTTGACTATTGATTCAGAATTACTACTATTAGTCTCTTCATAGGACATTACAATATTAGTTTGAGCGTTACTTTCCTCACTAGAGTTCTCTGGCTACTGCTTCTATAGTACATCAATTTAGAACAGGGCTACATATAAGTTATTTTGTAACAAGTGGAGATCTTTATACTCTCGAACTGTGAGTTTGATACATTTCCTTACTGTCTGGACAATATTACTTGCGTCTACAGGCAGTTTCTTTAGGAATTAGGACTCTCTATCCGTGACTCTATTGATATTTATCTGTTACTATACACAGACTTTGACCAATCAAGACATATTAGTCAGGAATCTGAGGTGTATTGTAGTCACGGTTTAGTACCTGGGAGGTTTAGCCTATTCGGCTGATAACACTATCTTCACATTGGGATGACCTTATAGTCTGGACAAGGGATTTGATATTGAGATATAGATATATATATATCTTTGCATTTTTATATATAATATCTTTGCATTTTTATCATTAACTACATTTACTCTCTATAGAATTATAGCTCCAGTACATGCTCAAATCACTGGATCTCTACATCCAGTGATCCAAGCTTTCTTTTTGATATAAAAAAGAAAACTCTGTTCTGCAGCTGTTGACATAGTTGCGCAGGCACTTTGTTGACTCTAGAGAATATCGGGCCAATCGCACATCCCTGTGACGGCGACTTTGCATTTGGATGTCATCCATATCAACTTTCGATGCCAGTTTCTGCGCCTACCATGGTGACCACGGGTAACTGGGAATCAGGGTTCCATTCCATACAGGGACCCTGAGAAACTGCTACCACATGCAAGGAAGGCAGCAGGCGCGCAAATGACCCACTCCCAACGCGGGAAGGTAGTGACGACAAATAACAATACAGGACTCTTTAGAGGCCTTGTAATTGTAATGAGTCCACTTGAAATCATTTAACTCAATGGGAGGGAAGTCTAGTGCAGAGCCACTGACCGGTGCGTGCTGCAGCTGAAACTCCACTATCGCCTGCTGCTGCTCGCACAGTCTCATGAGGCGGTGAGCAGGAAGGCCGAAGTTATGCTGCAGTGCAGACAGGCGAGCAGCAGCCGCTACAGTGAATGTCACATCCTGTTCCAAGTTGCAGATCAGTCTGGTGATGGCTTCTGGTATCCAGTACTTTTTTTGCTGAAGCTGCATCAGGGTCCTGGTATGTGGCCGCACAAACGCTGGTGCTCAACACCAGGGGGCATGCGGTTACCCTGCTAATCCATTCCACACTGTGACTCCTAACTTAAACCATCAGGCATACTGGGTCCCGGTCGTCCGACCACCGCCCAGACAGTGTCTGGGTCCTGGTCACCGTACTGCCCACCTGACTGTGAAACTACGAATGGATTGTTAAATCTGGTACGAACCCGAACATTGCAGTTCGGGTTCGCACAACTCCATTATGGATCCTTTGATCGCTACATGTATTACTTGGATAACTGGTAATTCTCGAGCTAATACATGCCGACGAGCACTAGGGGACGACCGCTCCGCTTTTGCACCCTGCTCCCTCTTATGCTGGTGCCTCTGTGCGACCAGCGCCTCTTCCTCCAAACTACACACGTCACTCGCATGACCTTGATTCCATGTGGGATCTAGGACCTCATAATCTTCCACCCACTCCTCAACCCTGCCCTCCTTGCCGATATGCACACTGCAGAAAGTAACAGCAGTTGGCATCTGTGTTTTTCCAGCATGTAAAGTCTGCAAAGGACATATGGAAATTGTTTTAGAATTGTATCCAGACAACAGTTTTCCCTATAAACTGACCTCTCAGTTTGACTTGTGAGGGTATTGTCCCAGAATTACAATATTGTTGAAGTACCTCTTAGCTATTGATTACTGGTTTACATTTAGCAGCTGCAGCAGGTAGTTTCTAGTGTAGTAAATATCAATCTGTTTTCTAGCACTTAGATCTGTTTAACAAGTGTTGTAGGTGTGAAACAATATTACAAGTGACTACAGGGAGTGCAGAATTATTAGGCAAGTTGTATTTTTGAGGATTAATTTTATTATTGAACAACAACCATGTTCTCAATGAACCCAAAAAACTCATTAATATCAAAGCTGAATATTTTTGGAAGTAGTTTTTAGTTTGTTTTTAGTTATAGCTATGTTAGGGGGATATCTGTGTGTGCAGGTGACTATTACTGTGCATAATTATTAGGCAACTTAACAAAAAACAAATATATACCCATTTCAATTATTTATTATTACCAGTGAAACCAATATAACATCTCAACATTCACAAATATACATTTCTGACATTCAAAAACAAAACAAAAACAAATCAGTGACCAATATAGCCACCTTTCTTTGCAAGGACACTCAAAAGCCTGCCATCCATGGATTCTGTCAGTGTTTTGATCTGTTCACCATCAACATTGCGTGCAGCAGCAACCACAGCCTCCCAGACACTGTTCAGAGAGGTGTACTGTTTTCCCTCCTTGTAAATCTCACATTTGATGATGGACCACAGGTTCTCAATGGGGTTCAGATCAGGTGAACAAGGAGGCCATGTCATTAGATTTTCTTCTTTTATACCCTTTCTTGCCAGCCACGCTGTGGAGTACTTGGACGCGTGTGATGGAGCATTGTCCTGCATGAAAATCATGTTTTTCTTGAAGGATGCAGACTTCTTCCTGTACCACTGCTTGAAGAAGGTGTCTTCCAGGAACTGGCAGTAGGACTGGGAGTTGAGCTTGACTCCATCCTCAACCCGAAAAGGCCCCACAAGCTCATCTTTGATGATACCAGCCCAAACCAGTACTCCACCTCCACCTTGCTGGCGTCTGAGTCGGACTGGAGCTCTCTGCCCTTTACCAATCCAGCCACGGGCCCATCCATCTGGCCCATCAAGACTCACTCTCATTTCATCAGTCCATAAAACCTTAGAAAAATCAGTCTTGAGATATTTCTTGGCCCAGTCTTGACATTTCAGCTTGTGTGTCTTGTTCAGTGGTGGTCGTCTTTCAGCCTTTCTTACCTTGGCCATGTCTCTGAGTATTGCACACCTTGTGCTTTTGGGCACTCCAGTGATGTTGCAGCTCTGAAATATGGCCAAACTGGTGGCAAGTGGCATCGTGGCAGCTGCACGCTTGACTTTTCTCAGTTCATGGGCAGTTATTTTGCGCCTTGGTTTTTCCACACGCTTCTTGCGACCCTGTTGACTATTTTGAATGAAACGCTTGATTGTTCGATGATCACGCTTCAGAAGCTTTGCAATTTTAAGAGTGCTGCATCCCTCTGCAAGATATCTCACTATTTTTGACTTTTCTGAGCCTGTCAAGTCCTTCTTTTGACCCATTTTGCCAAAGGAAAGGAAGTTTCCTAATAATTATGCACACCTGATATAGGGTGTTGATGTCATTAGACCACACCCCTTCTCATTACAGAGATGCACATCACCTAATATGCTTAATTGGTAGTAGGCTTTCGAGCCTATACAGCTTGGAGTAAGACAACATGCATAAAGAGGATGATGTGGTCAAAATACTCATTTGCCTAATAATTCTGCACTCCCTGTAATGTAGTAAATTCAAATCAAAGATCCACTTGCAAAAAAAATTCATGCCCATCTTCTGTGGGTTATTGCATTTTTAAGATGTAGACTTATTGTATCAATCTAGCCATGCACAGGTACGTTGTCTGGCACATTGTTTTGGTGTTTGGTTTTAACTTTGTAGTTGTGTCTTTACACAATATAGAAATGTATATTAATGCTTCTGTATATGAAGCGATCACAATAACACTTACTTTTCACTTAAAAAAAAAAAAAAAAAAAATCAGGTTATACAAAAATTGGTAACTCACAATATGACATCTGAAAAGCACATGAAAGGATACTGTATGATTTTAAAAAAGAACACACCACATGAAGGTCCTGTTCACTAGTGTGTAGTCATGAATGTAACCAGTAAAACTTTTTACAGCCACTGGTTGTCCCATACATATTTTAAAACTTGTTTAATTTTGTTGTAGCATGACTTGTAGATATGAAGAGCAGTCTGCAAATGTACTATTGGCAGATTAGCACCCAGAAAATAAGAATGTTTACCACTGCACTGTAAGCACACTATTAGACGCTTCTATTTAACTCTCAGATATGAAGTTCACCCCACTAAAATACTATTTAGCACCCAAAACATTTTAAGTTTTAAAACTGCAATGTGACAGCAGTATTTAACGATTCTATTTGACTCTCAGATATGAAGTGCACCCCACTAATGTATTATCCCATTAATGTACTATTTAGCACTAAAACAAATTGACTTTTTAAAACTCTGCTGTAACCACGGTATTTGCAACTTCTATTTGATTCTCAAATAAGAAGTGCACCCCACTAATGTACTTTTTTGCAGAATTCTTTCCTAAGCTGTCGCTATAAACGGCAGCATCCTCTCCCTACACTAATAAGACCTCTTGTGCGTGCGGCGCTACGCGACTCCAGCTTATATATAGAGGCTGGGTCACATTCTGCACTGGCTAATCACAGCCATGCCATTAGTAGGCATGACTGTGATGGCTTCTAAGGGCACACGAGTCAAACACTTGTTGATTGGCTGCCTTGCAGCCTTTGAAAACGCGCCATTAAATAACCGAACTCCAACCCGAACATACAGTGATATGTCCGTGTCCGGGGTAAAAAAAACTTAATGTTCGGGTTCGCTCAACTCTACTGACAAAAAACACCCCAATATGTATTCAACAACGTCTCCTGAGTACAACAGTACCCCCCAATCTACAGGTTTTATGGGTTTTTGCAATCTTAAAGGGGTCAAATGTAGGGCTTTCCGTTTTTCCATGTTTGCACATTGAAATTTACCAAATTGGTTTGCGGGGCCTATGTTGCCTTGAGACGTATGGCAGCCCAGGAATGAAAATTAACCCCATCTTGGCATACCATTTGTTAAAGCAGACCACCCATGGTATTCAAACCTCTCCATGGGGTGTACCAACGGCAGATAGTGGATGTGGCTCACATGACAAAATCCTACCAATGGCTGGAAAAGGCAGGACTGAGGCACTAATCCTAGCAGCTCAGGAACAGGCACTCAACACCAGATCAATAGAAGCTGGAGTTTTGCACACCAGGTAAAACCCAAGGTGCAGACTGTGCAAAGAGGCCTCTGAGACAGTCCAGCACCTAGTTGCTGGATGCAAGATGTTAGCAGGAACAGCATACACAGATAGGCACCATCAAGTTGCTGGGATTGTGTACCAAAACATCTGCACACAATATGGATTAGACCTGCCTAAGTCCTGATGGGAGATACCACAAAGGGTAGTCGAGAATGACAGGGATAAGATCCTGTGGGACTTCAAGATCCAGACAAACAAGCAAGAGTGGCCAACCAACCTTACATTGTGGTGGTACACAAGGAATGGAAGACTGCAGTCAATCTAGGCAAGAAATAATGGGGATTTAGTTACATTATATGATCAAACATTGCATAAGCCTGCCACCTCAATCTACCCCATCTTTGGCAGGTCCTACTCTAACAGCCAAATGTACACAAACACTAGCGTGACACAATGACTTATAAGGCTTGCATACTTTTTTTTTTCATGGCTGCTTTGCATTCCCAGTCCAGCCCTGATTAGGAGTAGCACCTGGCTCTCCGAATTGCCACACACAGCAGCAGGGAATCAGACAATGCCATCTATAAAACCCTGCATCTACCCTTTATAGTCAATATGTTTCTGAAAATGTATTTATTTCTGTGCTGCAGATACTGTTGAATTAAGCAGGACAAGACAACGGTACCAGGATGCAATTCCTAATTACTCTTGTGCCCTGGGATTGTTTAACTTACTAGTGTAATTTTTTTTTCTAAATTGGAGTCCAGATACATGATGATCTGCATTAAGGTATTCTTCATTAAAATGCACAAATACAATATGCAATATAAAATGGTAATATTTGGAGCGCTTATTTAGTAGGTGGAAAAAAGTCTAATTACAGCTAATAACTTA